GGGGGATGACGTGGGGCAAGATGGCGGGGAGGGGGGCAAGATGGCGGCGCTGAGGGGGTGTCTGGAACCCCCCCCCCCCCGAGCTGTGTGCGGCTCCATAACATGTGATTTCTGGCCCCAACTTGTGCAAAACGCTTTGAAACGCAGGAAACGCGCCGGGAACGTTAGTTATTGCTCCTCGAGGGACGGGAATCCGCCGGCAAGAATTACGAGGAGTGAGAGGAGGCCACTTGGATGCTCTTGGGCTGGAGCTTTCTGGAATYCCCTGAAGATTTGCACAATTTAGGAAGGGCTGAGGCCGGTTTAGTGGATTCGTGTGTTGCAGGGCTGCAGCCATTGCCAGCCGCCTCGTGCTCACCCGAAATTCCTCTTCCAGGGAGATCTGGGTCCGTTCAATCCCGGTTTGCCGGTGGAAGTGCCAGTCTGGTTGGCCATTAACCTGAAGCAGAGGCAGAAGTGCCGGCTGATCCCGCCGGRGTGGATGGATGTCGGTGAGTGCCGCCGCCCTGGGCTCACATGGGTCCGACCGAARCACCAAACATCAACGTTAAGTTTTTGCCCGTTAGTGGGAAGCATAAATCCACAAATACCAAGTGACTCTGAGAGGAGGAGCTCATGTTCCAGGGCTGGAAAGTTTTGTGCTTACCAGAAATGTAATCTCCCGAGCCAAGCTAGATGTTTAACTTCCCCTTCCCTGGTTAGGAGGGGGAACCGGGATTAGATTTCATTCCTGCCCCTGCTCCTTATCTTCAGTGCAACGCCTCCGTGCCCTTTCTGACCAGTGGGACCGTGAGCAGCACTTGCATTGCTGCAAGGCRTGTTGGTAAAGAGCTCTGGGGACCTTGCATGACGTTCTGTGAAGAGGGTGACTTAGGAGAGCTTATATGTGTTTTAATCGCCTGTCATTCGCTCCGTGATGTCCTCTTTCCTAAAGGGATGAGAAATCAAAGGTCTTCTCACTCTGCTAAAAGTGAGAACCGTGGTCCCCTCCTTTTGTCTTGGGGAAAACAGAGAGAAAAGAAGCAAGTACTCCTGAAGGGGTAGTAAGAGAGGGCGGCATCCAACCTGCTTTATTCAAACAAAGGTGCAAAGATCAGTAGAAGTGTTTGTGGGTAAAGTGACGCCCTCTCCCAGGTGGGGATCAGGGTGTTGACGGGGCTGCTGTAGGCTCAGCCTCCTGGCCGCCTGTGCAGGGACCTGTTTGGCGGCGCCTGTCAGCACCCACGGGTGTTGATGGGCACCTTTTCTCCCTGGGGAGCTGCTCGTGCTCGACACCACAACAGACAGGAGCTGCTGGGGTTGTTTTCCTGCCTCGCAGAAGCCCTTTTTTTTGTCCATATATTGATTCCAGCTGGTGTAAACTTTGATATGTAGTTGCTCCTCCTGAAAAAGGACATATAGAAATAGTTGGTCCTGCAGAAATAGCATGTGGGGCTTTTTTTTTCTGGGGAAAAATCCCACCTGCAGCGTTGACGATGTGGCAGAGCTGACTCTTCATGGTTCTGTTCCAGGAAAACTGGAAGAAATCCGCGACCAGGAACGCAAAGAGGACACCTTCACTCCCATGCCCAGTCCCTATTACATGGAACTCACAAAGCTGCTATTAAACTAGTAAGTAGGAAACGTATTGTAGCAGTTTCCGCCTGAGTTGGTGCTTGCACTGACAATTCTTCAGGCTTTCATTGGCAGCAACCCCAGAGGCCTGTGGCAAAGGGAGAGTTAATGGGGGTTTATTTCACAGCCTGCCAAGATCTCGTTGCAGCAGTTTTCTCAGGGTAACTTTGCATTTCAGTGGCTGGGGGTTGCTTGTTGCGTGCCCTCATAATTGGGGCTGTGCCGCTTTAGTGAGCAGCAGCTCGGCGGCGAGGCCTGGGCTATCTGCAGCGCTTGCCGTGGCTGCAATCTGCTCGGCAGCCTAAACCCTCCAGGCGCCTTCCTTGGCTCTCCTTCAGGAGGAAAGCTCTTCTTCCCGCAGCCTGCGAAGCGGGAGATCGGGAATGCTGAGCGCYTCCACTCGTGCCTGCTGAGGCATTTCACGTGTGAAATGTGCTGGCTGGTGTCTTTTGGAGCGCGGGGTCTCCTCAATTCAGGCCCTTAATGACAGGGCAGCGCTCGCCTAAGCCCTGGCTTTCCCTCTGGAGATGCTGCTCGTGGCRTGCGGCTCCTTTCCACACGCTGGAATAACCCCGGAATAGCCCTGTCCGTGCCCGTGGAGCTGATCTCCCGGGGGCCTTGTGGCAGTGCTGAATGGGAGGCTGTGACACGACTCGTGCAGCCTTTGCAGCCCAGTGCTCTCCAGAGCGCTGTGAGAGCCAGGGCCTGAGCTCTGGCTCTAATCACAGCCGAGCCCCTGGTGCTCCCTGGCTGAGCGTGGCTTTGGCCAGGTTACCGGCCCTCCTTGCACCTCGCACCAGCTGGGCAATTAAAGAGCAGAAGGATTGTAGTGAGAACCAGATGCTGCTTCAGAGCTGACAATTCCCGGGTAAATAAACGATCCCAAAAATCCCAGCAGCGGCAGKACCAGGCTGGATTTTAATGGCGAGTTGCTGTTGGTTGCTATATTAAAAAAAAAAGGAAAAAAAATTCAAACTGCTCTGCTTATGCCTTAGAGGGTTGAAAAGCTGCCAGCACTGCTTCTGCCAGTGACATAATGTACGAGTCCCTTGCAGCCTGTTCTTATCTGCTCCCTCCGCCTCCAGTGCCTCAGACAACATCCCCAAAGCCGACGAGATCCGGACGCTGGTGAAGGAGACCTGGGACACCCGGATAGCCAAGCTGCGGCTGTCTGCGGACAGCTTCGTCAAGCAGCAGGAGGCCCATGCCAAGGTACAGAGGGGACGCTTGGAAAAGCTTCCTAGCGCTGTCCTGGGAGCGTTCCAGATGCCTTGTGATTGTGTGGGCTTGTGACTGATTAGAGCTGCTYGCGAAAAGTGCCAGTTGGGGCATGTTTTTCCTGGGCTACGGGCTTGTCGGTTGGGAACTAAAGCCATATGCTGAAACCTCTCTCTGCTGCTCCCCACGCGGTATGAAAATAGAGCTCCCGTCGCTCATAAGCTCCGCTCGGCCAGGGGTGGCAGCTGGGCCGCTCCCTTGGGGTGTCGCTGGAGGAAAAGTGTGTGTATGTGTCTGCTGCAAAGCTGCTTTCCAAGATCCTTGTCCTCCACCGTTTCCCCAGATTCTGCTATTTTCTCTCCTTTTTTTTTTAAAGCTGGATAACTTAACCCTGATGGAAATCAACACAATCGGGACTTTCCTTACCCAAGCCTTAGACCACATGTACAAGCTCCGCAGCAACCTCCAGCCCGGTGCGAGCGGCCCCTCGCCGGATTTCTGAGGTGATTTCCCGAGCGGCGCCTGGAAACCTCCCAGGAGAGAGCTCCACTGCCTCTGGAAATGTGAAACKGCAGGAGGCACCAGGCCGGGGCGCATTCCCTGCTCCCTGGGGCTGCCTCCTGCTTCCAGTGGGAGGCTCTTCCAGCCGGAGAGGAGCTTGGGCACAAGGGTAACTTGTCCCCTTGCTGCCTGATGCTTTGGGCAGCGTGTGGGTGTGTTTCAGAGGGAGGGCTTCTGAGGGCAGCAGCACCGGCCACACGCTGCCGGGAAGCAGCAGGATGAAGGCGCTGCCTGGCCGGGAATGCCCTCAGGATGAGGGGGACACCCTCAGGATGATGGGGACATGGAGGTTTCCACTCCCACACTGGGGAGACAGCAGCTGAGCAGATCTGTCCGCTCCACAGAGAGGGCACAAGGCAGCAATGCTGCCCCTCCAGAGCTGGGCTGGGCTATAGTTATATATATACACCTGAAACTGTATAAAAAATAAATAAAATAACCCCCCAAATCGCAGCTGAGTGACCTGTTATCCCCTACCTCACATTAGCTTTATCCCGTGTATATGGGATGCTCGGCACCYGCCCCGGCTCCTCCTTTGGCACCGAACCTGTTGTCCCCAAGACCGTGTCCGAGGTCCTGTCCCCAACACCGTGTCCGAGGCCCGCGGGGCCGGGGGGCTGCGGGGACCCCCCTGCAGCGCGGGCCGAGCCGCAGCCCCCGCGGGCTGCTCTGCTGGGGGCACAAAGAATCCGCCGCCGTCATTTAGGAAGATTTTTATTTTCGTTCTGGATGTTTTCAGAAATTACAGCAATATATTCATAAATACCTAATTACTACATTCAACAAATAATATATTACATTACAGTTAATTCAAACAAGTACACTTAGAACAGGTTTAGGTTCTTTTTTTTCCTTTTTTTTTGTTTTTTTTTTTATCCTATTTTGTTTTCCTTTCACAGCATCTCAACTGCCCCCCAGCAGGCCCTGCCTCTCCTGCCCTCCCCGGCTCTGGTTTAGCTGCCCTCGCACAGGTACAAACAGAAAACACCGCCTTAAACCCAAGTCTAAAACACGCAGGGGGTCGGGGGGGCTCTTGGAGGTGCAGGAATCGCCTCCAAAACCCCCACAGGGCAACACGTGGAGCCAGACCCGGTGCCACCAAGCACCCAGTGGCCCCTTGGCCACCAATTCGCCCTCCCTGCTCCCCTGGGAATGAACAGAGCTGAGCTTAAAGCGCTGGCTTTTTTCCTGCGTTAAAATTCATGGCGAAGCCTCCAGTTGGCAGCTCCTCGGCCAGAGGCTGGCTCTGCAACGGGGATTTAAAAAAGATTAAACTAATTTCTGTCACAAGGGCATTTTGCTTTTTAATCGTGCACAGCTTTTTTTTTGGTGAAGCCAATGGGAGGCCGGCGGATTCGGGGGAAAACGAGCCGGGGGGGGAGGTTAATGCTTCCTTTGCAAGTGCAACAAGGGAATTTAAAGCAGAAAGCAGAGGTCACCTTTTCCTGCAGACAGACGGGAGCTCGTCTCGTGGCAAATAAAAAGAAATAAATATATATATATTAAAAAAGAAAACACAAAACAAACCCCGAAGCTCCCCTGGGAGCTGGAGCACGCGCCCGTCAGCAAAAAGTGACTAAAAATGGCACTGTGCGGCTCGTGCTGGCCACGTTTTTTGGGGCAGAGAGGCCTAATTTAGTGACAACGGTGCCCACTGCCAGCACCGAGGCCTGGGTGCAGGCACAAAATTCACCTCTGCACCAGCCCCCGCCGGCACCGTGGGGCTTTTGCACCTAATTCTTCATTTTTTTCCCCGTATTTCTCTATTTCTAGTCTTTTTTGCAGCCTGGGTCGGGCTGGGGGCGGGTTGAGGCCGGGTTAAGCTGGCACCTTTTGGCCCGGGTTGTTACGGGGCTCAGCAAGGCGCAGCTGGCTCCATTTGGGGGAAAAAAAGGCAAACCTAAAATAAAAACAAGGCGCGTTTGAGCGGAGCAGGCGTGGGGCGGCTGATTGTCTGGCGTGGGGGCTGCGGCGGCTCCAAGGGCCCCCAAACACCCTCAAAAAAGGGGAATAAAACCTATAAATCCCCRCGAGGAAGAGGGTGGCAGGAGGAAGTACCTGGTGCTCCCCTGGCAGCAAAGCAAGAGCGAGAGCCCGGTGCGACAGCCAGGCCCCGGAAAAGGGCCGATCCTGGGATTTTTTTTCCTTTTTTTAAGAAAGTCTTTTAAACAATTTAACATTTTTCTTTCTGTCCTGACCAGCAGCAGTACAAACACTAAAAGCAAGGATTATTTTTTTGTTTGTTTTTTTCCCCCAAAAAAGGAAGGGACGGGGAGAGAGGGGAAGAAACAAAAGCAGAAACGTTTTGCTTTTTTTTTAAAAAAAAAAAAAGGCAAGCTTTTTATAACAATAATTAAAGTAATAAAAACATACAAAACCTTTTTTTCTTAATATATCTATATACAGTACAAGGCTGAAGCACCTTTTTTTTTGTTTTTCCTTGATTCTAAAATTGCAAAAAAAAAAGAAAATTCTTTTGACTCGGTATGAAAAACCCCCTAACCCCCCCCGGGGTGTGCGTGTCTATACGTACAGCTCTAGCTATAGGGGATGTGTACGTCCTGTGGCTCTGTGCGCTCTCCACTCCCTCCCTTCCCCGCCAAGCAGGAATAAAAAAGGTACCTTGGGTTCGTTTATCGACTTTTTATTTGTTTTATAGCGAAGTGCATTTCCAGCGGGAAGCCCCGGGCTGCCGGAGCTGGCGCGCGAGCGGGGCCTTAGTGTTCTCAGTGGAGTCTGGGACCGGAATTCGACATTAAAAAATAAAAATAAAAAGGAAAAAGAAAACCCCCAAAATAAAGAAATGAGCTACATAAGGTGTGGGCRGGGGGAGGAAGGCCCTGCTGGCTCCCCCGTGGCGGAGCGGAGGCCGGGCCGGCGCCGGGGCTGCTCCCGCCCGGCTCCATTCCCGGCRCTCCTTTGCTTCATGCATGGCACAGTCTCCATTTATCCTCTTTTTTTGTTTGTTTTGCTTTGTTTTATTATTATTATTCTTTTTTTTTTTTTCGGTTTTATTTTTTTTTTAGCTTCAAACCTCCCAGTGAAAAATATTAAATATTCAAGGTAATAAAATAGATTATTATTTCTAGACTATAGGTCCGGCCTGGCCCCAGGAGCGTCACCTGGGGTACCCCTTGAAGTAGCCCCTCGCCCACTGCATCGCCGGCAAGGCAAGGCACTTGCGCAGGTGATCCAGCTCGGCCTGCAGCCGCTCCCGCTCCGACACCATCTTCTGCTTCTGGCTCCGCAGCTCCTGCAGGGGCGCACGGGAGAGCCACCGTCAGCACAGCGGGGTCACCGGCACCCGCGGCGGGGACGGGGAGGCTTTGGGGAGGGTGACGTGCCTGGCGTGGGCTCCCCGCCCCATCCTGGGGTGCTGCAGTGGCCCCTTTGCAAAGGGACAGGGGTATTGCAGGGACACGGGGGCACTGCAGGGATAGGG